TATTTGTGTTCAGTACACCTGGTGAGATATTAAAATCAGTGGGAGTTAACAAGTGTAATAGAGATCAGAATTTAGTCCATTATATTTAGGGCTTCTGATTTCACATTTTAACTGATAAACATTGTTAAAACACCCCCAATACAAAATTGTTTATGTAGTAAACACCGGAAAAGAACTGGAAATGGTTACTTGTGTCTGTAGGCTTGTCTACACAGAGCAGTAATGTGGACTACCTTGCATATTTTCCTGTGAAATATCTTGCTGAAGGGGGAAGGGAATAGGTCTTGGCAGAATAGGGTGACCAGACAGCAAAAGTGAAAAATCGGGACAGAGGGTGGGGGGTAATAGGAGCCTATATAAGAAAAAGACCCAAAAATCGGGACATCTGATCACCCTACGGCAGAATTTGCCAGCTGGAGCTAAGGCCTTCAGACTGGGACCAGAGGGAAGTGATCTTCAAGATCTAAGGTGCAGGAGACATCTGCATAGTTCCTGTCCTCTTTCTACCTCCAGCAGTACTGGTGTCCTGAAGAAGACCTGCTGCCATTGGCTGGGTCCCTCTGTGGCAACTCAGGTGCAGCTCTGGCGGCTAATTAGCTAGAGCGAATACTGTATTAACTCCAAGCCAGAGTTCTGTGCAGAAATTCTACAGGAATTGATACTACAAAGTGGAGCCAAGCCCCCAAATCCCAAAGCTCTGCAGCACTTTGACAAGTTGAACCCTAGTAGACACCTCTAGAGAGTGGGGGACAGTTCAGCAAAGGAGAGCTTGCATTTCCATTTGGGGAGGGAATGATCCATCCCTGGGTTTCCTTCAATAATATTTTTATACTTTATTTATACAGCTATTGACAGAGATACTGTACATACATACATATATATCACAAAGAAAGTTGGAACCCACTCTTCACCACTGAAAAGAATTTGAATTTTTCAATCCTGGAATGTTGCAGATTCACTTTCCAATGTCCCACCATTTTCCCCTTACGACAAAGGAAATGAAGATGGCCTATGTTAAGCAACGAACAGACTTCACTTTGGTCATGTATATCCCAGAGCTTTCTTGGCATTTTTCTCTCCAAATGAAAACTTTGCTGCTGGGAGAAACCTTGGTGTCATCATTGCTTTGGCGAGGTGTCAGCGGGTGTACTAGAGGATGTGAATGACGAGTAAGGTAACACTCAACTGGACAATTTATTTTCAGAGCTGGGAAAGCTCCTTGGGTAGAGTTTCCTGTTCTGAGAAGTAGTTTATACACGCAGGACCAGTAAAATCCACTGTTGAAATCGTGTCACAACTATTGTGCTTCATTGTAACATTTGCCAGAACCACCTCAGTTGTACTAGGATCGTTGGAAGAACAGCAAAATTTACCTTGACTGGAACAATAAAAATAGAACAAAACAAACATTAGCTACCAGATAAGTCTGAGTTTGATGGGCTTGGACACTTCCACAATCTAATTCATAATATTTTCTAACTTCAGTGAATAAGAACATGCAACTGTGAACTACACATTTTAGGAAAGGAAGAAATCTTGAGACATCTCTGGCTTGCATATGATTCTGGACATGACCATCAATAATGCTGTTTCTCTTATATTTTTCTACCTCATAGCATAATAACAGACCCACTGCTCCACCCCTCTCCTGTCCAACCTAAAGATGGTCAAAGTTTTTGGTTTAAAGGGTTGATTTTTTGTTTTGTTTTGTTTTCTAGAAAGAAAACAGCTTTTAAAATATATATGAACATGTCCGTGGAAAATTTAAAAAAACCCTGAAAATACCCAAAATTTTCAGCTATATACAACAAAATTGTTTTTGGAATTTTCTGTTATTCAACAATAAAAACCCAATACATTTCCGAGAACAAAATTCAAAAAACAAAAACAAATAAAACAATTAAAAAATTCATTTTAATGAAAAATTTTCACACAAAGTTTTTCAACCAGCGTTTGTTCAAACACTGTTGCATGGGGACACAGGAGCCTCTATGAAGTTATGCTCTACAGACTACAGGGTGTTGGCAAACTCTGAGCATGGGCTCCCCAAATCCTGCCTCTGCCCAGTGCATAGTGGAGCATTGCATTTTATATCTGCAGGATATAACTGGCTTTAACTGGCTTCCTTAAACTTCCTTATTAACACTGACTGGATACACATCTAAAGTGGTAATACTTACTTTCTGAGAACTTTCACTGCAATAATAATCACAGCCAACAGTAACATACTTCCACTGATAGACACCATGATGATCTCATAAATTGCATTGGAAGGACCTTGCAGAGTATAAAAAGCATGGATGAGTTTTGCAGTCAAACAAAAGCCTTAAAATGTGCAGCCCTTTGTGTCATGGTCCCAGGATGATTACGTTTATTACTAATTATTAATTTATTATTATTACTTATTATTTTAAATGGCCAATTCTCTAGTTTATTGTGGAGCTGGGATTTTAACAACATTACAGTCTATGGATTGAAGGGCTGATAATTTCAGAGGGTAAGGTGGACATTTAAAAGCATACTTTGCCAATTTGTGCCACCTTTCATTCGAAATCTCAAAGTGCTTTACAGCTTAATGCATTAACACTTCACTACTGAAATAAGTAATTCAATACCTGTTTTACAGTTGTCACAGAGCAGTGAAGTGACCTGCCCAGGGTCAGACAGAAAGTCAGTTGCAGAGCTGGGAGTAGAACCCAGCTCCCCAGATTATATTCTAACCATTAGACCGGCAGCCTCTTCACATGTGCATTACTGGGTAATTTCAGCCTTGGATTATCAGTCTAAATATCCGCCCACTTCATTGTTAACTCATTTCTTTGTGAGTATGAAAGGTACCATAGAGACCCAAACGTGCTTCTGTTTAGAGGATGGTTAGTCACTGAGAGAAGTAAAAACCCACTGGATCAAGCAGCCTCTCCTTGTACAACAGCACCAGCTAGGAGGAAATTGCAGTGAGCAGACAGTGGCTTGCCCAAGCCCTAGGGGCTCTTTCCCCAGGAGCAGCCACCCAGCACCAGCTATGGTTGAGGTCTCACAGCATATGTCATCTCCATGAGCCTCTCCTCCTGGGCCTGGGGGCTGGGGTACAGGGCTGGTTACCTCCTCTCCCCTTCTCTCCACAGGGAAGAGCTGTTGCAGCTTCCTGATGTCATCACTCACTCAGCTCTGACAACTGGCCTCTGGAATTCCCCTTTCCCTCCATATTTGCTGTATTGCCATTGGTTGTTGGACCCCTTTCATCCTGCTCCTCTTCTGCCACTAGGGACCATAGCTCTTCAACCTCCTTGGGCTTGATCCAAGCTCACTGAAATCAACGAGTGTCTTTCCATTTACTTCAATGGGCTTTGAATCAGGCCCCTTATCTTCTTCCTTATCCTGTTCCCCACTCCTCCCGTTCCAACAATCCCTTCTTCCCACCCCATAAAAAATCCCCAAAGACCTGGGGTTAACCTGCCGAGTGCCTGTCTCCCCAATTACTCTGCCCACACATTGTATCCCTTTTGTCTATTTAAGTTTCAAGCCCTTTGGGGGCAGAGACCATGCCTGTCTATGTGTTTGTTCAACATCTAACTCAATGGAGCCCTGATACTTGTAGTAAAGTGGTCATGAGAGGGTTAACTGGGTTACCCAATGTATTATGGGACGGAGCCATGGTTCACCCCTTCTTTACTTCCCATTTTAGTCAGTGGGAGTGTCCCTGCCACACACTCTTTTGTGGTGCAGTTAAATAAAGCAGCAAATTCCCAGCCTGCAGTCCTCTGAGTGGACTTATTTTTGTTGCACCGTGTGGTCCCATTATACAAATAGTGACTGGGGCCTTTGAGCAATACTAATACTTAATAATAATTGAAAGTTCTTATGAGAACAGCTTAGAGAAGTAAGGCACCTGCATGCTGGAGAACCATTGTGCCATGAAGTGTCTTGTCACCATCACTGGCCATGCTGCAAAACAAAATCAAACAGGAGATTCAGACCATGCGCTATTGTTGAAATTCAGTCCATCTGTCCTAGGTAATTATATAGCACCTGAACACACCACCAGCCTTAACATATTTACCCTCATAACACCCATGTGTGACAGGGAAGTATTGCTATCCCCATTTTACAGATGGGGAACTGAGGCACAAAGAGGCTATGTGATTTGCCCACAGTCACACAGGAAGTCTGTGGTAGAGAAGGGAATTGAACCCTGTTCTCTTGAGGCCTAGGCTATCACCCTAACACAGGGCCATCTTTTTCGTCAACTTCCCTGTGGTTGATGCCTAACTCCTTTAACAATCTCAGGGCTTGTTTACACTACAAAGTTTTGTCGACAAAAGGCAAGTTTTGTAGACACACTGCAATGTGACTTTTGGTGGCAAAAGCCCTGTTTTGGCAACAAAATAAAACCACCCTGATGAGAGACATAAAGCTTTTTGTGGAAAATTTTTGTCGACAAAGTGCCAGTGTAGACACTACGCTTGATTTTATCACTTTAATTGGCCTCCAGGAGGTGTCCCATAATGCCCCTCCAGACTGCTCTGGTCAGCAGTTTGAACTCAACTGCCCAGCAGCCAGATAAACAACCATCTGCCCCTCCCCCTTAGAAGCCTCAGGAATTTTTGAAGAGAGGTGGAGAGGTCTCATTGCATCTTCCCAGGTGACCATGGCAGGTTATAAACGCTTTCCTGCCTAGACCCTCGCTTCCCTACTTACCCTCAGCAGTGAGATGTCTGCTAGAATGACCCCCTCCTATGGAAAAGTGTGGGAGAATTTTAGATTTTTTTCCCTAGTCAGCTGCACCACAACCCTTGCAGAGTGCTCTTTTCCCATGTACAGTGCTCCTCCCTCCAGCCAACACTCACCATGCTTTGGGTGTTCGCAGAGATGTCCACTTGCCAAGGGTCAGTGAGAAAGAAATTGTTATGTTACAAAAGGTGTATTTTACTGAAATGTTTCAATGCTGTGCGTGAATTTAACAATCATGCTTCTGTGCATTGTTCCTTGTGCTTCGGCAGATGTGGCCTTCAGAAACACCCCACACACACCGGCTGAGCGTCTCCGCCAGATAAGAAAGTGCCCAAGACGGAGCAAAGAAGACATGTTCTGGGAGGTACTGCACTTCTCCAATGCAGAGAAAAGGGAACACAAGGAGTGCAGGGAAGCCAAAAGGCAGGACAGAAAAGAAAATCAGGAGTTTGTTAAAGACGCTACTGAGTGGATGATTAAGGTCATGGAGGAGCAAACGCAGATGCTGAAGTTCTGAATAATGCTGCAGACTGAGCAGATCTGTGTCCACCCTCCCCTGAAGCACATTCAGAACTCTTTTTCATGCCCCCCCATCAACTCCGCCTGCACAGTCTTTCCACTTTCTGGGACTTCTCGGTTTCCCCTTCACTGCACCCTCTTGGACAACTTTCAAAATGGTAGCTGGACCTACACACAGCTCTGAAGGTCTGTCCTTCCCAGGTGTCTCCTTTCCCACCAAGCATCGTTGTGTGTGTGTGAGTTGTTTCTTGTGAAATAAAAACAAAGTTTTTGAATGACAACTCATGTTTATTTGTTTCCTACAAATAGAGATAGCAGGCCCTACCAATACATACACAGGCAGTTTAATCATCTGCTTACTGGAATGTAAGGCCCCAAATGTCACCATTGCTTCCTAGGAAAACAACATATAATGTAACATTGCAGTGCCAATCACAGAGATATACATTACTGATTCTCATTTTCAAAGTGCTGCCTCAAAGCCTCCCTAATTGGAATTTCCCCCCCTCAGCTCCTCTGATAGCCCTTGTATCTGGCTTCTTAAAATAAGCAGCCAAGTGGTCTGCTGCTATACTCCACCCCTGAGCAGACCTTTCACCTTAGCTTCACAAAGATTATGCACCGTACAACATGCAGCTATGACCATGGGAATATTATCCTCATTCAGGTCTAACCTGCCATAAAGGCATCGGCAGCGCGCCTTTAATCTGCCAAAGGCACATTCTACTGTCATCCGGCATCTACACAGCTTGTTGTTGAACCACTCCTTACTGCTGTCCAGGTTTCCCGTGTAAGATTTCATGAGCCACAGCTATAAGGGGTACGCCGGGTCTTCCAGGATCACTATGGGCATTTCAACATCCTCCACTGTAATTTTCTGGTCTGGAAAGAAGGTCCCTGCTTGTAGCTTTCTATATAGGCCAAGTTCCTGAAGATGCATGCGGCATGCGTGATGCAATATGCAGCCATGCTCACCCCTGCCTCAGCAGCTGTAACTGCCGATGGCTCATGGGTGCTCCCAGCAGGAGTCCAGCAGGATCACCTCTAGCCCCCCCCACCAATGGAGGTGTCCCTACCAGGTGCCCTGATCCAGCCTGATCCCCCTCCAACACATACACACACATTTTGGTGCCTAGGAAGTGGGCTCAGCCTCTTGAATGGGAGAAGGGGCCCGTGGGTGGATATATTGCTTGGGAAGGGGGGCAGGCCCTCCCCTGGGCTGTGAGGATGGGAGACAGGCCAGGGCCCCGTGGCGCTAGGCGCTGTACAAACACAGCCAGCCAGCCCCTGCCCCGAAAGAGCTCCCAGTCTAGCTACCAGCAGGTCAGCCCACGGGAGGCTGCTGACTTGAGCCACGCCTGGGAATGTGGAGAAGCAGGGGGGGACCCAAGTAAAGGTTCCAGCTGGCAGTAGCTAAAATTTGCCAGCAGAGATTGGTCTCTGAGGGGCAAAAGCCAGACTGAGGCCGGGGGGTGGGGGGAACCATTGTATGGAGACTGGGACTGAACTTCCCCCAAGGTGTCTGGCTCAGAGCACTGCTCTTGCAGCCGGCACCTGTCCGGGGGGCGAGCCCCTTGTGCTTGGCCGGAGATAGAGGATCTGGCATGGGGGTGTCAGATGGCAACAGACAGGCCGCAGGGAGCCACCCAGAGCTAATCCTCCATCAGGGTTCAGGACACTGCTGTGGCTGGGGAGTTGAGTCTCGCAGACCCCCCGCACCGATTGGGGGAGCTCGGAGGAACGCGATGGGGTGGGGAAGGAGAGGAATCCATCGCCTTGTAACCTCACCAGTGGGGGGTGGCTGTGTACCAGGGATGGGGGGGTCCTGCCTGGGGGATCAGGGCAGATCAGAGCCGTCCATCCAAGCAATGACATGAAACACAGGGGCAAAAGCCCTTCCAGAGGGGGTATTCAGAAGAACCTCAATTTCTTTCCCCCCCATCCCCTTTCAAGAATGGTGCCGGGGTCTGTGCTATTGTGTCTGAGCTCCCAGTGCAGCCTAAATTCTCTCCTGCTGCTTGCACCCCCCAACCCAAACTTCATGCCAGGCTCTTCTATAATAAGAGGTCAAGTAAAAATTCCCCCCAACTCTTGGAGAAAAGCCTAAATCTTGAGCCTACCTTAAACTGATCATGTCTTAGCACCTGGGAGCCCTAGTCATAGACCCAGGCCCCATGGTGCTAGGCGCTGTACAAACACAGGATAAAAAATGTTTAATGAGAGGGGTGAGACCCGGCCGTGGTGCGGCTGCAGAATCCAGCTGTTCGCTCCACCCCACTATAAAGCAAAGGTTTTTCTCCAGCAGAGCAGAGATGCCTTGAACAATTCCACCCAGGGCTAAGGCAGCTGGGAGGCTGCTGCAGATTGCAGGGAATGTTCACGGCCATTCAACGACTCTGCAACATCCAAAGCTGCTTCCTGGCATGTTCCACCCACCCTGTAGCAGCTGCTGTATCGAGGGACCCCGTCTCTTTGCGGGAGGGTGGCTAGCTCGGGGGGGGGGGGGGGTGTTGTTCAGGCCCATCTGTGGGTTTGCTCTCAGTCACTCACCCATTCCTCTGACCTGCTTACCAATCCCAGGAGCGCTGGCTCCCCTTTGTGTTGGAACGTGGGAGTGCAGAATGGGATGCTGGATATTGGGCACTGGGATTGGGACACTTGGGCAAGCAGTAATTTGGGGCAAGATCCCCCCACCCCCGTCACGAGAGTTCAGGGCTGGATTTTCAAGCACTCAAGCATGCACAATTTTTGGTGAACCTGGGCTGGGCGCTGCTGCAGGGTTCTGGGCCCCAGGCCCCAAAGGACTGAGGTCCACCCACGTCCTGGGTGCATGGAGCTGCAGGTGCTCCATGGTGCTGGATCCTGGGTGTCTCCAAGGGGTCTGCTTTTCTGGGTGGGGAACAAAGAAGGCTAGTACTGGGGGGGATAGCTCAGTGGTTTGAGCATTGGCTTGCGAAACCCAGGGTTATGAGTTCAATCCTGGGGGGGTGCATTTAGGGATCTGGGGCAAAAATTGGGGACTGGTCCTGCTTTGAGCAGGGGCTTGGACAAGATGACCTCCTGAGGTCCCTTCCAACCCTGATATTCTATGATTCTATGCACCTTCTTGGATCACCCCACGTTGATATCAGTGAAACGCTCACAGTGATCCACAAGCGCCTGCAACACCATGGAGAAGTACTCCTTCCTATTGATGTACTCCATTGCAAGGTGGTCTGGTGCCAAAATTGGAACGTGTGTACCATCGATTGCCCCTCCATAGTTAGGGAAACCCGTTTCTGCAAAGCCATCCACTATTTCACGCACCTTTTCCAGAGTCATGGTCCTTTGTAGCAGGATGTGATGAACTGCCTTGCACACTTGAATTAACGCAGCCCCAACAGTTGACTTTCTGACTCCAAATTGATTTGCGACTGACTGGTAGCAGTCTGGAGTTCCCAGCTTCTACACAGCAATTGCCACATGCTTCTCTACCAACAGGGCAGCTCTCATTGTGGTGTCCTTGTGCCACAGTGCTGGGGTGAGCTCTGCACACAGCTCCAGGAAAGTAGCTTTCCACACCCAAAAGTTCTGTAGCCACTGCTCGTCATCGCACGCCTGCATGACACGACGATCCCACCATTCAGTGCTTGTTTCCCGAGATGGTCCACCCTCTGCAGCTGTTCTGTGAATGCCAAAAGCAATCTAAAGTTGCTCCTATCCATATCACACAGCATGTCAGGGAACTGGGAGTCTTCTTCAGTTGGGAACTTGGAGATTAACATCCATAATGTCTTAATGACAGTTATCAGAGCATAGGAGAGCAGTGTGGGATCTCTCTCTTCTCACAAAGATGCTGGCGTGCACAGCAAACAAGGGTCATTGAAAAATGCCGCGAAAGAAAACCAGAAGCCCATGGAATGCTGGGACAGAAAGCAATGCATTATGGGACATCGAGCTTGGTCCCAAGATGTGCCATAATCTGCTCCACCTTCCCACAAGACCTAGCGGCAGAAGGTGTCGAGCTGAACTGTGGGATAGTACCCATAGTACACTGCTCACATGGTCAATGCTAGTGCCCCAAGTGTGGACACACTCTGTTGACAGAGGGGGAAAGTGTGAACATGCAATACCAATTTTTATTATAGCGCTTTTGAAGTGTCAACATAACATTTGTCGACAAAACTCTGTAGTGTAGACAAGGCCTCAGCCATCATTGGAGAGATTCGAAGTGGGAATGATTAGACATTGGAGATAATGTGATATACAAGGTGCAATTTCTTGCTTTGCACCCAAATAACAAAATACCATTTCTTCCAATTAATCTGTTTGCTATCATGACCCTCACCAAGATATGACGAGCTCAAACGCATTATTGAAGTTATTGTCACAGTACCCCTGTGAGGTAGGGAACCATTATTACCCCTGTTTTCCAGATGGGGAAACTGAGGCACATAGCTATTAGTGATTTGTCCAGGGTCACACTGGGAGTCTGTGGTAGAGTCTGGAACTAAATCCTGATCTCCCTGCTCCCAATTCCACGCCTTACCCGCAGGACCATCCCTCCCTCTCTCAAAGTATGGTTAAATATAACATTTTGTTACTGGGAAAATACATTTGACAAAACACCAGCTAAGAGTTAATAGAAAATAATTCCCAAGTCAGACTCAGGTATGATCCTCCATTAAATCCTCTGGCTGTAAAGACCCATTTTCCCCACATTCACTGATCCCAGGGCTTCTGTCTTACACATATCTTTTTCCTTGTGTTATTAATATGCTGGTTTCCATCCAGTATATATGCAGCCCCTTATTCAGAATATAAATGAGATGTGGAATTACAGAATGTGTTTTCAACATTTAATAAATATGTTAATCAAGTGACTGCAATATGTCATCAGGTATCAGAAGAGCTTATATACCTAATGTTATGTAAGTAGCACTTTAAATAATATTCTCTCTGCAACAATAAACTTAAGTTAAAATAGATTTATTGTGAAAAATCCATTCGCCACAGGTTGCATATGAAGAAACAAGTGACTGAGGAAAATAAAACCCCACAGGAGAAAAACACCACAACTTCCAAACAACAACCCTCTCTCAGATTTATATAAAATGTAATACCAGGTTTGAAACCTGGAATAAAGAACCCAGTTCATACTGAAATATTGTGTATGATATGAGCCAGATTCCACAAAACATGGGAAAGATAGTGAAAAAAGCCCCACCCCCCTTTTTTAAAAAAAGATTGAACAGGAAAAGCATAAAGCACATTTGCACAGTTAACCA